GGGGGGGGGAGATAAAGGCTGCGAGGTTCTGGAAGAAAACCACAGAGGATGGGCTAATGCCGCCCTAATCCCACCCGGCCCTGCGATTTCACAGGCAGAACTGAGAGGCGGCTCCACACACCCAGCCCCACCAGCCAGAGTGACTCAATAAACCAAACGGGCAATCTGAAGGCAGGCGGCTTGGCCTAAAGGCTACGAGGTTCCCGGGAGGCGGGTCTGAGCACCTTGGCCCCACTCTGGGGGAGCGGCCTGGCGAGCAGCATTGGCCTCCATGACATTAGACAGCTCGTTGATGATCAGCTTTAGGATCTTGACCAGCAAAGGAATGTTTGTCCAGCGCTCAGGGTCTGGGGGAAAGAAAAGGCTTCCAGTCAGGCTCACCGGCTCCCTGGACATACCCTGTCATGCACGGATGGTCAACAGTCCACCACCTGCAGGCTCTCCTCCCAGATCACATCCAGATGCTAATGGACGATTTAGCTACATCACTTCATCTGCCGGGTGCTATTAGAGCTCAGGAATTGAAGGAGGTAGCTTTTTGCCAGTAATAAAGCTCAGACACCAGGTAGGGGCATGTAACCAAGCACACCAGTCCCCACAACCCGCGGATGGAGAGGTGGCAGGTTAATTATAAACCTCAGGTCAGGGGCAGTGCAGCATTCAAGGCCTACAAGTCACTGGGGTCACAGGCCACAGGCGACCCGATAATCAACATACACTGAACTTGGTACCGAAGCCCCAGGATAAAGCTGGAAGCAGGATCCCTGGTGCTGAAGACGTTTGTCAATGTCCAGCAACAGGGAGAACCGTGTTCTGACCTATTGCTCACCCAGTTCCCTGCTCTTCATCCAGCCTGTCACTGACAGTTCTAGTTAAACCCTACCTCCCCCAGGTCTCCCCAGCGTCACCCACTCTTGGCGGCCTTGGCGCGTGTGCGAACACCCTCGTCCACACCATAGATCTCCTCGCCCTTCACGCGGATGTCCTGCAGCCGCTTGTCATCTGCATTGATGCCATGCTGGAGCAGCTTGCACAGGGCCACAGAGCTGGCAAGGAACAGGCAGGAGGGTCACTCAGCCACCCAGCCAGAGGTCGCTCCAAGGACATGAGCATTATGTCCCGAGACACTCTCTTTATGACAGTCAAAGTTCTGTTCACAAGTAATGAGCAGAGAAGAGGAGCTGCTGAACACAGCTTGGCTGGGAAAGCCCCACAATGAGCCTGCTGGGTGGTGCGCTGGGTGATGAGCCCAGGGGGACAGAGCCCAGGACAGAGGTCCAAGTCCAGGGCAGGGGCTGGGCTGGCCAAGAACCACCTCTGGCTGGTGGAGTCTGAGGCAGAGGAGCATGTCTAGCTGATAGAAATCAAATGCTACGGTTGACTATCTGGGAACCTCAGGGACACAAGGGGCAGTCTGTCATGTCCAACAAAATTCCAGGGCGCAAGTCTGGGGAGGAGCAGCGTGAGAAGAGGCTCACCTGACTTTGCCCTCATACTGGCCATAGAACAAGTGCTGCCGGCTCGTCCACTCAGCCATCACGAACTCCAGGGCAGGCTTGCCGGTGGGCCCAGGCAGGCTGCATAGGAACTCCAGGAGGGGCTCCAGCTGGGTGTGCACCAGGTGGGCGAACACCATGATCAGGGACTAGGGGCGACAAGAGGGTGGGGACCTGAAGAAACAAAGTACTTGGAACCTTCCTTGTCCAAGTCTCCTGATCGATTTTACCTAACTGTTCTACAAGGGCAGTCAGAGCTCAGTAACTAGGGACCAGGGTGAGGTCTGCACTCCCACCACCCAGGGTGGGAAGCTGGCCCCCACCCTCTCACCTGCATGACGCTCAGCGTCTCCGCCTGCTGCATCTTGCTGAGGATGGCACGGAGGATCTGGTCCAGGTTCTCCCCCAGCTCGCGCCCAGCCTTGGAGATGAGGGTGGAGACCAGGCGGCCCACAAAGGCCGCGGTGAACTCGGAGGTGCGGGGGTCCAGGAGCTGGCTCACCACCTGCATCACGTACCACAGCCCGTTGTGGCCCTGCTCGTCATGCCACTGGGCCACCTGCTCCAGCGTCACCGACACGTAGGCCCGCAGGCACTCTCCACCGTTCTGGGGAGACAGGTGGCAGGTGAGATTAACAGCTGGGACACACACCAGGGGCCCTCAGTATGTACAGGCAAGCACTGCTGTCCAGGGTCTGACCCTCCTCAGAGTGGTGGGCTTCAGGTTCATGGGGGCTTGTTCCACTGAAGTCTGCTGCTCACCATCACAGACATGGACACACCACTGTCCCCACCTTACCACTCAGCTCTCTCAAAAATGCACTCTGCCCGGCAGGGCATGGCTCAGCGGTTGAGCAACAATCTAGGATCCACAAGATTGCAGTTTGATTCCCCGTTAGGGCACATGCCCAGGTTGTGGGCTCGATCCCGTCAGGGGTGTGCAGGAGGCAGCGATGAATGACGACTCATCATTGATGTTTCTTTTTTAAAAAAAATATATCTTTACTGATTTCAGAGAGAGGAAAGGAGACAGAGACATCAATGATGAGAAAGTCATTGATTAAGCCCACAACCCGGGCCTGTGCCCTGACCAGGAATCGAACCCCGTTCGCCTGGATCCCAAGCTGACGCTCAATCGCTAAGCCACGCCTGACCGGGCTCATCATTGATGCTTCTATCTCTCTCCCTTCCTCTCTCTGAAATCAATAAAGATATATATATATTAAAAAAAAAAAAAAAGGCACTCTGATCTCAGGGACAAGGGCCATAGAAACCCACCCCTGGTACTGGAAACATATCTAAGACCCAGTGTACCTGGGGGACTACAGGTGCCTGGAGATTTCCAAAACCCTCTCTTTGCTGACTTTATTCACAGAAGGAACATCCAGAAAAGGCTTTCTTATGGCCCGTCTGTCTGTAACCTCTTACAAAGGACCACCCCGCAGACATAGGGGTGTCCACATCGCTACCAAGGTAACACCCCAAAGCACAGAGCAACAGGCTTCTGCAGCTAGCACCGCCCTGGTCCTCTGGGTAAGTACGGGTGTGAGAGACACATGTCCAGAGGCCCCAGCCTCCGAGAAGCATGGTGGGAGTTGCCTCCCCTTTGGCTGCCATGGCCGAGATACCTGCATGGTGGCGTTGTCGTCTGTGTGAAGGGTACACTGTGCCACGGCAGGGAATGCCTGGCAGATGAGAAGCTGGGAGAGCGGTGGCTTTGTGTTCCGCACCACTGTGGTCAGGATGTCGATGGCTGTCTGCAGGAGAGAGGGGAGGTCAGAACTGCCGCTGAGATGGGGGAGGGGGCCCAACATCCAGTCCTTACTGCCCAGAGAAAGCTCGTTAATGAAAGAAAAGGAACCACGAGAAGGTAGCGTGTGCTCCCAGCCTCCTCGTGGTGGCTCATGACTTGACTGGCCACAGGGCTGTGTGGCGTATGGCAGTAGACTGGGCGTCAGGTGACATACTAAGTGGTGCTGAAAAACAAGGGTACCTCTGGAACAAGAACCACCCGTCCCCGTGGACAAAGCAGCCAGTAAACTCACCCTGAACCTCACGGTCATTGGTGTCCTGCCAGCTGGGCGGATGTGCAGGTAGCAGTGGCAGTGTGAGGTTACACCTGCTCACACCCTCCCACACCTGCACCGTGTGGCTTCTTGTGCCCACTCACCGCACACAGCCCCGCGGGGATCTTGTCGGCTGGTGCCTGCATGATGCTGACCAGCGTCGGGATCAGCCGCATCTGCATGGGGCCCTGGCAGGCTTCGATCTGGGATAGCTCCTTGAAGATGTCCTGAGCCAGCGAAGCGACAACCGGATCTGAGGTGGACAAGGCAACACGGGCCCCGCCCGATGGTCTGCACATGCTGCTGGCTTAGTGATGCCTGGTGGGTGGCCCTAACCTACGTTAGCAACTTCTGCTTGGATGACATGCCACACACCCGGGACCTAGCGGGGCCACCTGGATAACCTGAAACAACGGGAGAGATGTGGCATCTCCAAAGGCACACAGGTCTCCCCACACCACGGATGGGCCTGTGAAAGTTACTCCTAAAACCAAATTTGGCTCTTCTGGGGAATTCTTTAATGTCTTTATTTGTGTGACACTGGGATTGTGCTCAAAGAACGACTGCTACTGGTCTCGTGTGGAGGAGGAGCCCATGCACCTCCTGGGGGCAACTATATGGGAGGACCCTGCAGATCCTGCTCCAGGCCAAGAGCCTGGAAGAAGTGACACCTCAGCTGGAGCCACGTGGCCTGGGCAACAGGGTCTCCTCTCCACAAGAGACGCATGCAGCACACCGAGGTCCACGTTACAGGCCTGCACACAGCTGTCTGTTAACAGAGGGAAGTCAGCCGTGAGCATCTGTGGACTGTGACATGATGGCTGCAGAGAGTGGGGCCCATCTGACAGTGCAGCATGGAAGCCTCACCAGGACACGCTCTCAAGTGAGAAGCAAAAACAATGTGCAGTACTGCCCCACCCCAGCACCCATTCCGAGCTTCAATACCGGGGCTTTCTCCTTAAAACAAACATCCTGTTTTTTCTGATAATAAAGAACTAACATTACACACTGCAGAACTGTTAAAAGAAAGAAAACAAGCGTAATCCCCCCGCCTAGAAGCACTGCCCTTGACATGCTGATGTATTTTCTTCCAGTACTTTTCTTATGTACATATACTTATATGCATCCCTTTCTAACACAAAACCAAAACTTGGGGTTGCAAAACTGTCTACATTCTCATTGCTTTAAACAGTCCCCTGAAGTTGGATTTTATGGCTGTACAGTGCCCCATTTTATGGGTATAAATTAATCTCCACTATTCCCACATTTGTGCTATGAAAACGTGTGATGCACCCCTCTGTTCACCTCTCTGTCCTCCCACTGCCTTGGCTGTTATAGTCCAGGCCTCTCCTTCCCGGGAGCTTTGATGTAGATGCTCCACTTCCTACTTTGCTGCCAGAGTTCTGAATGGAACTGACAGCCCCTCTTCACCACTCTCTCCTGGTTTTCATCAGAGGTTAGACGTATGAGAATAGGAGCTCTCCTTTTCAGCTCTGCTGATAGTCAGTCCTTGCTTACAATGCGGAAGATCTCGGGCCCCAGGGACATGTTCAGCTAAGCCCAGCCCACCTCCGGGTGGTGCCCTCCCTGGTGGCATACCGTTACTGTACTTCAGGAAAATGGCGATGGTGAAGGGGCAGATCTTGCTCTCCACGCTGGCCGTGAACTCTGGGTCTACTGTGCAGACGATGCACAGCGTCTCCATCACCAGGTTCAGGACCTCGGAGCTGAACTGCGCGGCCAGGTGAATCAGGCCGTCCAGGACGCTGGGGAGGAAGGGCTGGAGGACGTGGGTGCTCTCCGAGGCTTTCAGCTGGTCACAGTAACTGGGGAGAGACAGAGAAGCAGGAATCACTCAGGCTGGTTTTCCGATCAATAGCAGGGGGCAGCATTTTCCACGTGTGGCTTTATGAAGCGACTTCCAGCTAGTTTTTACTTCTTCCTATAGCATGTTTCACAAATATCAGCACCACCGTCTGTTTCCTAATCTACTCCCTTTAAAATTTCTTTCATGGTTCTCCCACTCTGTCTTCAAATACATCCCGTCGTATCTTTACATCTGAATTGCTAAGATACTAAGTTAAATGTCTCACGATTCCAGACTACTGCTCAGTCACATTCCCAAGACCTGGATAAATATTCTTGTTATTTTCCAAATACTTAGTGTTTCATCGTCTCTTCCGATATAAGTGTTATTTAGCAAGAGATTTTTAAACTTCCACATTATAAAAATTATGTACTCTTTGGTTTTCTTTTGAATCCTAAAATGAGATCAACTTATATAAACATTCTATGCACACTTATAGAACTGATGTCCTATCTGTAGGGTTCAAAGTTTGCTATATGTGTTCTACATTTCCAATCACTACATCTCTACCGGACGCTGCTCACCATGTCCAATGGGTACAGTGATTAAGTCTTTGTTCATTTTCAAAATGGTAACAAAGTCAATAAAAACACTGTTTCTCTGTGTTAAAGATCCTCGAACAGAAACAAGGGCTTCCACAGGTACTTGATAAATGCTTTTCAGAGTGGCTCAGTTGTTTGGAGTATCATTCCGGCACCAAAAGATGGCGAGTCCAATTCCAATAAGGGCACATACCCAGGTTGCGGGTTCGATCACTAGTCAACACTGCAGGAGGCAACTGATGTTTCTAACATTGATGTTTCTCTCTCTCTCTTCCTCTAAAATCAACTTTAAAAAATGTTGTGATACCAATAAGTAAACAAAATGTTAAAAACAATTTTAAGAATCTCGTGACCACTGACAATGGCTGTGAGAGATGCCTGCTCTCAGTAATTCTCTCAGAGTAGTTTTATCACCCTAAGGTGGCGCACTCACCCCCAGATGGCTCTCACAGCAGAAATCCGAACTGATGGGGGTTGTGTCTCATGAAGACCACTAACTGTTGCCTGTAGAAACTGCTGGATCAATTCAGGGGACATAGCAACAGTGAACCGACTGGCAGCCCAAAGTGCCCGACCCAAGAGGAAGGGAGACACTGGGGGGAAGAGAGAGAAATTAGGGGCTGGACAACAATGTTCCTGTTACTCGCCCTTCCTCCTACCCACTGCATCCCTCAGCTTGCCAGTCACTGGATGTCACAGCTTAGATGAGAGAAGCAGACCCTGGGTGTTCTCAGACCACAGGCCACGGCTGGAGCACCACAAATTACAGCTGTAGTCCTTTTACCTACAACAGGTCCATAAATGCCAGTTTGCCCAACAACAGGCACCTTGGTTAGCATGGCCTTCAAGGCCCTGAGATCAGTGACTCTGCCTTACCTACAGTTTCCCTGTATGACTTCGACTCAAGCACAACCCTCCCCAGCTACTCCTGTCCTCACATTTCTGCGCTCTATTTATAAACCAACACTCTCGCCTCTCCCAGCATCACCCTCTTGGGCAGCAGGAGCCCCCCTCCCTCTGTGCCGCTGTAACGCTACACCCTTAGCTTCCTTCCGCGGTATGTATGTTTGATACTCTGGCCCTGGTGTAGGGCTGACCCCCTACCTACTCTGTGCAGCCCAAGAACAGGGACTGCACTTACCCAGCTGCACAGGGTGTCACTTAGTTACTTGAACAGTAAACACTCAGGTGATGGGATCTACTAAACAGAACCCAGCAATGTACCAGTCAGATAATTACATACTAACATAATGGGAGCGGCAGTTCTCAGGTACGGACCCGGGAGTGCGGGAGCCCCAAGTGTTAAAACTGCTTTCATGTAACACCATGACACGGTCTGTCTGCTCACTTCATTCTCTCCACATGCACAGGGGAGTTTTCCTGGGGTCATGTGACTTACGACACCATGGCTCAGTTTTAATTGCCAGTATGTTAAGTATTCACACATGAAATTCACAGAAAACTCTCTTCGGGATCATTAATAATTAAAAATGGCTGGTATAGAAAAGTCCTTTGCTAAAGGCAGGATAATAATGTTATCTATTAAACCTTTTCCCAGTCTTACCACTAAATATTCTCAAATCTGCATGAGCTTTTGAAGATTCTTTGTTAGGGCAAATGTTACAGACATAGGCTGATGGTTTGAGAAGTTCCAATGTCTTCACTCAACACGTGTCACATGTATAGTCCACGCAGGCACCGTGGAGTAGAAAGTATACTAGATGCACCTGTTCTCTCAGAGACCTCACAATGAGCAAGAGGAAGAAACACATTCATCAGCCACAGTGCAGCCTCCCATAAACAAAGGGGAAAGGATGCTCCCAATGGGCCTGGGCTCTGGACACTCAGTCGTCTCAATGTCGACCCAGAGGACAGAAGTGACGGCCGAGAGCCTATGACACGCTGCCTGTCAGCCAGCACAGAACCCTCAGGAGAAGTATGCGCCCCAAGGGCTGTGTGTGGAGAGGCACGTGAAAAGCCAGGGCTGAGCAGCAGCGCCAAGTGCCTGTGCTGTGGCGCAGAGAGAAAGCAAGGTCAGCAGGGTGTAAGGGGTCAGTCTATGGGTGCAGAGCAGAGTAAGACACGGCGCGAGCAGAGGCAGCGGAGCTGAGAACCTCAGCCAGACGTCGTGAGTGTCCGGCTACTCTGGAGGGCTGGGAAATGGATCTAACGTGCTGGAGGCTGCTTCTCTCTTAGGGCAGTGGCAACATGGTCATGAGAACAGAACCGTGTCACTTGGATACTGGCCAAGAATCAAGTGTGAGGGAAGTGACAGGAAGCAAACAGGAAGAACTGCCCAGGGTGCCGACTGGGCAGCAGAGCTCAAGTCCTCAGGGCACAGAAACCGGACCTCGGACCTTTCAAGTGGTCACACGGCTGAGAAGGCAGTGCTGGTCTGGAGGAGAACCATGAGCAAGGCAATTGCAGCCCCTGGTTGGTAAGGGTGAGCCAAGTCTTGGGGCTGTTTAGGAGCAGATGAGTTCAAGCTCTAGGGCAGAAAGAAGACCTTTCCCCAGAGGACACGAGCACCTGGCTGACCCACCTCAGTGAACACCACAAAGGGCTGACAAGCCCGAAGGCTGTCCAGACCCTGGACCTGCTGGGCCATACCTGAGAGGTTGAGGTCTGCGAGGACAACACTGGTCAGGAACCCGTGCATGTCGAAATGGACCCGGCCGTTTTTCACGCTATCAGTGATGATGGACTTCACGGAGCCTAGTGCCAGCATGCACGCCTCATGAATCTTCCACCTGCAAAAGAGGCATCATCACTTGCAAAAACCTCGCTGCCAGAAAGACAAACATTCGAGGGAAGGAGACTCAGGAGAGGCCTCCAGCAGAACCTGACCTTCCCATCAAAACCAAGAGTGGAAACAGAGAAATCCAGGACAAGCCTTCTAATTAAAACAAGGTAAAGTTCTTCCTCTGAAAGCTTTTTAGAAAGGCCAATAAAACAATCTGAACAACTACCATCAGGTTGGGAAGAAATGCTTTGAACCCAAAAGTCAAAGGCAGCTCTGAGGCCCAGCATGTCCCCAGGTGGAGCCCCTGCGTCCCCCTTACCAGTGCTCAGCGCCGCTGTTCTTGGTTTGCTCGGCTTCCTGTAAGTGCCGAGTGGCAGCAGCAGCAAGGGCGGCTGCACTCTCATTCTGGAAGTCAGCGGCTGCAGCCTGGGGAGACAGGGGGTGGGCTAATGCATCTGTCTGTGCAGAGTGAACCCACATTAGCTGCATCGCACACTGAATGGTCCAACTCTTTCACACACGTGCTAAGCCCTGCCTGCGAGCACTGGAAACACGAGCCCTCCCAGTGCAGGTCTGATGGAGCCAGAGCCCAGGCACTGGGGATCTGACGGCAGGCACAGATCCCTTCTGCAGCGTCTGCGTGAGCAACATGAGGTGACGCTGTGTTGACAACGGACCAGGCGCTTGACTCGGGGAGCCTGACTGGGAGCTAAAGGGCTAATCTACTGACGGGGCCTCGTGCAGATGCCCTGACCTTTCTCAGGCCCAGAAACACTACTGAGCGACGAGCAGAGCTCAGCGCCGAGGGCACCTCCCCCAACCCGAGGGCGCCCGGCTCACCAGCAGCAGGTCCTGCGCAGCGATGCGGACTGTGTAGGAGAAGGTGTCATCGTCCTCGTCCTCCACGAACTGCTGGGGGTTGGCCGTCCACACCTTAACCTGAGGACGGGGTCAGGGCTGTGAGCCTCGGCAAGGTCCTACGGGCTCGGGTCCCCAGCGCCCGGGTCGGGCAGGCTGTGCCAGCTTCCCGAGGCCCAGGAAGCCCTCCCGGCGCCCGGCGTGCATCCACCTGCTCCTCCGTGATCTGCATGTACAGGATGACGTAGTAGGTCAGCTCCGGCAGCGCTTTCCTGACCGTGCTCCTGAACTTGCTGTTCTCCAGCAGCGCGTGCACGAACTCGAAGATGCTGAAGACGAGGTTCTCGAAGCCCAGGACTTCGCCTACAGGGAGCAGAGCACGTCGGCGACAAGGGAGCGAGGCCAGCCCATGCCAGGAGAAACGGCGTCGGCTGTCCCACTAATGATGGTTTACAGCACTTCCTAATTCCTGCCTCCAGGGAACAGCCAGGGGCTGTGGAGCCAAAGAGGAACTTTGAGGCCCGGCTGGTGCGGCTCAGTGTTTGAGTGTTGACCTAGGACCCAGGAGACCACGGTTCGATTCCCGGTAGGGCACATGCCCGGGTTGTGGGCTCGATCCCCAGTCAGGGGCATGCAGGAGGCAGCCAATCAATGACTCACCACTGATGTTTCTATCTCTCTCTCTCCCATTCCCTTCCTCTCTCTGAAATCAATAACAATATATTAAAAATTTTTTTTTTTTTTTTTAAAAGAAAGGAACTTTGAAGATAGCACACTCTGGTTTTTGGAGAATCAGAAATACAGAATGTATCTTCCAGCATGTCTGTTTTTGATCTGAAATACTTAAAATACTACAACAGAAGGAAAGTGTCATCCCCTGGGGCCCCCAAGTTAAAATAGACGGAATGAGAGGGGCTGGGCTAGGCGGCCTGGAAGGCACCTTGTCCAACTCCGAGGCCCCGTGACCGTGAGATTCAGGCCCGTGCCTTGTTCCCACACCCAGCACAGCAAAAGGAAACCCAACTAGAAAACTGGCTTAAGAGAGTGAGCCTCCCAGTGACTGCTTTCCTGTCTGTCTGTCTTCTCCTCACGGTCCCTTTTCTCTCAGACATACCACATACCGTCAGAATCCACAGGGTCTTCCACTTCCTCTGTGTAATTGACTTCTGTCCTCACGTAAGTATGATGAAGGGTAAAGAAACAGAACCTGGAATCTGCTTTACATACCTTCTACGAGGGATGGTAGACACTAAGGGGAAGATACCAGCTAACACTAGAGCAAGTGCTTTAAGGGCCCCACAACCACGCAGCCCAGCATGACCTCCACAGCCCTGGAAAGGATATAAGGCCGCGCTCTCCGTCAGTGTGTTCCAGACAATGGGCAGGATCTGCTGCATGGAGGACGCCATGTGCTTGGGGAAGTTCTTCACCAGGGCGGTCACTGCCTGTGCCAGAGACAAGACCACAGGAGAGACATCAGGGTGCAGACCGCCCTCAAGCCCAAGCCCTCAGCAGCAGCCGGTGCTTACCTTGAGGACTTCCATCTTAAATCCGCTGTCGGACGTGGGCCCGTCCGGGATCTGCAGGGCCTGCACGAAGGCCGCGGTGAACTGCTGCACCACGGGGAAGATCAGGACTTTGGCGGCCCCCTGTCACCAGATAGCAAGTCAGGACCACCAGGCCGCCGACTGAGGGCGGCGAGCACAAACCAGACACCAGCACCCGAGGCATCAGGCCCCAGTCCCTGGCAGTGGTCTGCACCGCGCCTTCTCGAAGCCATTATATAGGTGTTTCCAGCTGCCTCTTTCACACAAGGGCATAAAATACCAGTGAAGTTCTGGGAAACTAGTGTGAACAGGAGCAGGACAAGGTGTTGGAAGAAATAAGACTCAAACGAAAGGACACCGAGACACATATGCCTGAAAATTATCCTGAATGTCCAGTGTCCCTGCCACCCGGGCATGTGCATTTGCAGAGAGCTGCTGCCCCCAATGGAGGTGTCAAAACGTGACCCAAAAGTTCCCGTACCTTTTCTAGTTCCTCCATATTACAGATCATATGGGCACAAGTGGTGAAAATCTCCACAGCTCGGGAACGGGTTCGAATGCCATACACCTGGGAAAAAGGTACAGCAGAGCCGTGAGACTGCTATGTCTGTGCACCTGTGACTTCTCAACCATGACATGGACTGGGTTCCCTGGAGAGATGGGAACGCCATCCACCATGCCCAGGGGACAGACTCTGTGATGCAGAGGATGAAGGCAGCGGACAATCAGGACTCACTAGAACAAGCCTTATGTGCACAGGTCTCTGTAGGCTGATCTGATGGGAACACCAGGCTGGGCACAGAGGAGGAGGGCGGCTACAATGCTACCCGTAAGGTTCCTGTCTTACTGTGAATGAGTTCTACTCACGCACTCATGAGCACATCTACATGTGGTACATTAATGGTCTTTGTGAGCAATGTAGTGACAGGCTGCTTCCAAGTGCTTAGCGGGTGAGTGAACTCTGGGGTGAGGCCTCAGTGAGGCTGGAGGGAGCAGTCGGCTCAGAGACTTCAGGCTACAGGGTGCACGAGGATGACGCATGTGAAAAGGACGGCAGCTCTCAGTCTTTTATCAAAAGTGAGTGGTTTAGACAGGGACCTGGGTCACTCTGGTCTTCAGGTTGGGGATTGGCAGCAACACCAGTCTCCCACCGGAGAGGGGAGGCTGACTGCAGCCTGCGCAGCTCTGCCTGCCGTGGCCTCGGCCCTGAGACCTCGTACCTCGGCCATGGTGAAGATCTTATACATCTCTGGGAGGATGACAGGAGCTACGAGCGGCATCTGCGTGTCTGTTACTTCCCGGGTGAATTCTACAAAGAAAAAGGAGTGCTGTAAACTATCTGCTTTGTAGATGTTAACTGAAAATTTCAAACTGCTTCTAGGTGGCAGTTCCCCAATAGATAGCACACAGGTAAAGACACTGGCCTGGTGGCCTTGTCCTGGGGAAGGAAAAGTAGCAAGAGCTACTCATTATTTGGTAGAAAAAAAAGAGAACAATACAGACATAAAGGAAAACACACGAGATTAAGAAAGTAAACCTTTAATCTCAGCAAGTCAGAAAAAGCTGGGATACCAGCAACAAGATTGATGTTACAGACCATCAATATCACATGGACTTTAGTAAAGCTGGGCCCAGATGCCAAGTTCAGTAAACTGAAATCCAAACAGTAGCACTGGCTTCATAACTAGGTTAGAATGCATCTCAGGAAAGCCAGCAGATCAGAGAAAGAAAGTACAGCTGGGACTTCCACAAACCTGTAGGAACAGAGGGGACACAGGCTTTCTAAAAGACCAACGCAAGATGGCTAATGTCCAGGTAAGGATTCCTTGAAGGCAAAACAGAGCAGCGACTTCACCCAGAGGTAGGAAGCAGAGTACAACTAGGAGCCTGGGAAACTGGGTCCTCCCTGGGGAAATGTGTTAACAGGTGCCGGGAGGGGCTCACAGTTATCAATGCAGCTTAGATGAGATACCACCAAATCTCCTTGGACTAAAAGTTCAAGTATTTTATTCTACTTGACTATTCCTAACTTTGTCTTGGTTGAACTAACTAGGAAAATCATATAACAATGATGAAAATCACAATGGCTAACAATGAGGAGTGCTCACGCCAGGTACCGTGCTGACCGCTTATGGAAAGCAGCTCATTTAAACAACTCAAAGCTCCTCTGAGGCAGATACAATCATTATCTTAATTTATACACAAGAAAACCCAGGCTTGAGGGAAAGCCAGGACATGAACTGAGATCGAGGGCTTCACCACCATGCTGCACCTGCCCTTGAGTGTGAAGGCTTGAGCAGCAGATATGACACCAACAGAATTCCCCACAGAGAGCGGACGGGGCAGGAGGGACAGACATGGAGATGACGAACTGGGAGGGGCAGCAGCACCAGGGAGAGCCACACAGGTCAAGTCCTGCTGCTCAGAGCCCTTCCATCAAACAGCTTCTGGTAGGTGCCATGGCACCTGGGATCCAGCACCACCAGAGAAAAGGCTTCCGTACCTGTCAGCACGCGCATGGCTCCATGGACGGCATTCAGGTCTCCGCTCACCAACATCTCCATGAGCAGGTTGAAGAGCTGGGGCCAGGCTTCGGGCCAGTCCCAGTGGGCGATGGCTGACACTGCGTAGGCCACACTGGAGCGCACCTTGCTTATCGACTCTCTCAACCCGTTGGGCAACAGCTCCCGGATAACAATTTTTGCCTGTAGAGGAGAAAAGCCCATCTGCCATTAGACCAGGTTGTATGTGGTCAGCAAAACACCCACTTATGTATTAGCAAAGCACTGTGGGCAAGACACTGCCTATCTATAGAAAACTCCAATCTATAAACTTGACACACAATTCACTCAGAGTCCCTGTGGTCCCCACATCTGTGCCGTCCACCACAGCAGCACCAGCTCCACATGGCCATGGACATTAATTACAATGAAACAAAATGAAAGCCTCAGTCAGAACACACAGACATCCCATAACTGCAGAGAGCTACAAGGACAGCTTACACCTCAAAATTTCTCAGGGGGCCCAGGATGGATGCACAGTTCTGTACTAAACAGAAACGTTAGTTCATTTAATCCTCAAAAAACTCTTTAGAAGTTAGAATTTTAATTCTACTTTTAGATATTTAAGAAATCGGGGCTTAGAAGAAAAATACTTTTCCAACACCGCAGACTGGGACCCGAGTGCCAGTCGGCCTGCCACTTGAGCTGTCTAATGTCCCCTTATCTCTAGCATGTGTCCACAATACCAGCCACCCGACCGCCTTCTCTGCCTGGTCCTCCAACTGTTCCACACTGTCCAGGCAGACCAGTCAGTAACTGTCCTTACCCTTTCTGTAGTTTCTGGAGGCCTGAACTTCTCCGAGTGGGCACACCAGTGCGTCTCCACATACTGCTTCAGAATGACTGAGGCCAGCTGCAGAGAGAACATGAGCGAGGTCCATAGCAAGAGGCTTTCTTCATGTAAAACCACACACATGGCTGATGCACTCACTCCAAGTAGAGCTAAATCTGGTACTGAACCCAAGGTTTCTTACAAACTGGCATTACTCCTTCTCTTTCCCATAAAAGTTTCATAACCAAGTACAGGGAATTATAAATTGGACCAACCAGGCAGGACTTACTTGACGAATTGCCAGGGCCCCCTGGGGATCCACGGTCAGCTCGGCCAGGTGAACACCAAATTCTGAAAGAGAAAATTTTATTGTGAGTCTAAGAGAAGCAGGAAAGCCCTAGAAATTTACTGAGCTATGACCCTGATGCCAACAAGAAAGACTTCAGAAAGGAGCTTGAACCTTCCCTTCTAAAAGCCCGGATAATGATAAGATCAACTCCACCAAGGAGGAGAAGCAGGTGGCTGCAGGACTAGGCCTCGCACAGAGACAAGTTCCTGTACCAGTTCCCCTTCTCCAGTCACTGGAAGGCATCTCCCAGCCCTTCCCTTCCAAGACGCTAACATCTTCCTCTTAAACCAATGAACATGTATCCAACTGAAACCAGTACTATCTGACCCCAAAGAAAAAGTAAAAGGTGAGACTGCAGGAGTTGCTCAGACACATACCACAAGATAAGAGATGACTGAGTCTCAGGAGATCTAGCTTTCTCAGGCTTAGTCCTAGGATACTCAGTCCAGTATTTCTGAGCTCTCCTTCCACATCTGCTTCTCTGCGAGCTTCAGAATCAACCTAACTCACCAATAATGCCAAGCGGCCCCATCCAAGGTCAATACTCCTTTCCATTTATTCAAGCCCGTTTCTAAGTCTTGTAGGATGTTTAACACTGAGGGTTAAACAGAAGGGAGAAGGAACCACACACTTTTCATCAGTCCACGTGGGCACCAACTGGAAGAGTCATTACAGCATGAAGACCAGGCAAACTCCGCAGCCAGGAGAAGGTAGTACTCTGGTGATGATCACAACAGCTGAAGCTCTTTAATCTTGCCTAGTAGCCTTCAGAGATCACACCCCACTTTCCACTAATCACCTTGTTTCACACATCACTGAGACTGTGAGGATGGAAAGAGACAACCAGAAAACTACGATCCACGAGGGGCCCAGAACCCTAAGTCAACCAGGCAACTGGCACCTACAACGAGCACTGACAGAGGGATTTTCTCAGAAAGCTTACTGCCTCCCTGTAGGAAAGAGGAAGCCTGAAAGTTCAAGTAACACTACCCTCGGCTCAAAAGCCCCAATGGGAAAGGAAATCTTTAAAGTTACCATCACCATTAACTAAAGACATATTTTAAAAGTGGGATGGATGAACAGAATAGATTTTGTCTATAGGCTCCTAGTTTTAAAAAAGTGACCACGTGATCAACTCTGGTTTGGAAACTCCCAAAATTCAAAGACAAAGAGCTTACTTGCATTACGTTATAGGGGAATATAAGAGGGAAAGTATCAATTATTATTTTAACCCAATTATTCTGTCTTCACATGTACCCATTAGAAATAGCGATATCAGTCACCAGAGAATTTCATAGCATAAAACTTTAGTTTTTTAAAGAGCTATGTGAAGAATTGTTTACAGGGAGTGACGGTGGTGGTGCTCTCTGACTTGTCTTATTTACAGGTATTCACTCAAAAGAGATCGTACAATATTTTTGGAAGAAATACAACTAAGTATATCTCTAAAGAAAAAAGTACTTTTATTTATTTTAGTGTGTGTTGGGGAATTTCCAGTTTTGCTGATTGGTGTCTTTAACATAACTTCTTTAGAAAGCACTAGAAAGAACAGCCGAAAACTGACTTCGAGATGATTAAGGCAGAAAAACCTGAGACACAGACATATACTACTGTTTTATTTTGTCTTGCTTAGAAAGGATCAATTCAGATTTAACTAAAATTCAATCTGAGTTAGCCGAAGGGGAACATTCCCAAGTGGGTGGTATGAAGTTGGCTTTCTAAAGTCATTTGTGTTAAGAAATTGAATTTCTCTAGTTACTTTTCCCAAGGTGAAATAGGACGGACTATTCTGTTAATCTGGGTTTTCACCCCAAGCCTAGGTAGGGTTTTTTTTTTCTTCCTTCAAAATATTTTTATTGACTTTTAGAGAGAGAGTGAAACATCCAGAGGCTGCCTCCTACATTGAGCCTGCAACCTACCCATGCCCTGACCAGGAATGGAACCAGCAACCTTTCGGTGCACGGGATGACGCCCAACCAACTGAGACACACCAGCCAGGGCTGAGTCCAGGTTCTTGATTATACCTTTAATCCAATCTAAAATGGGATCCTGACTCCTTTCCAAGAAAGCCTTTACCCTCCTGTTTCCTAACTCCTTCTTTCAATCTTTTGTCCCACCAGGCAGAAACATTATCTTTTAAAAACTGGCTTAGAAGGATGATCCAAGGGGAGCATGGGGACGTGGGACCTGACAGCACCTCCACAGGCAAGGAAGCTACTGGGGGGAGGGTGTGCAGAGCTGTGAGCAGGCTTTTTAGGGAGGAGAAGAGTTACAAGCACAGCTCTAGAGAAGCCCCTTTTTCTTATGAGGGTTGGGAATCACCACAAAACCACAGCTAAAGGGAAAAAGAAAACTCCACCACTGGCCTTTTTCCGAGCGTGGCCTCCTTCCACTCGGCTCAGTGCCCAGGAGTGCCCAGTGCCTCAGTGCCACACGCCCAGGACTGCGTTGGATCCTCGAGGGGCTGCCTTCACAGGTGACAGTGCTTATGCTAGACTGCAAGAGAGCCAGAAAAGCGCCCATGAGAACCAGGAAGCAACTCCCAGCCAGCAGGATCATCTCTCTAGGCCTCGAAGAGGGGGATAAACACAGATTCTGGGCAGCATCTGAATGCCAGGAAGAAGGAGGGAGGCAACTCTCCCAGGTCAATTATGGTGGTGGAAGGGAAAAAAAAAACATGTTTTCTGTGACATATCTGCTGGGAGCAAGACAGACAAGACTAAGTCAAGGCCAAACAACAGGACGTCTTCATTTCTAGTACACAAAAAAGAAAAAACTGAAAGAAACATGACGGAGGGTCTAAATCTAACTATACAGGAAAGCCTGTGCCATGCCGGCCTGGAGAATTAAAGCTCCACTACCAAGATGATGCTACTCTTAGAGGAAAAGTAGAGACAAAAGAAGAATAAACTGTACTCTAAGATGTAAAACGGGAACATGTAAATATACCAAAAACAGAGAGCTGATGTTATCAAAGTCATGACCTTGTAAGTCAGACAAAAAAGAGCTGATGAAACTGACTGCAGGACATGAGACTGATGTAAGAGATCACTGGCAGCTCACAACATCTCATCTCTTTAATTATTACGTTTATAAAATGCTTGTATCACCTGCCTATTAATAAAACGGAATTATAAAAACGCTCTAACATTTTTTTAAAAAGCCTTATATTTTTGCTCTATTGGGGTAGAACAATGTTCCCACAAACCCTGCTGATCAAGCTCAAAATCTCAATCCCCTCAGAAAGATGAAAGGTGACGCCACCTGCTGGAATACTGTGTAACTGCCCAACTTCCCAGGCGCCAGCTCCTCGTCTCAGGACCAGAGCCGCCGAGGGTGGCCAGTGACACCAGTTGCTTCTCTCATCAACCCTATGAGCTAGGCTTTCACTACTCGGAAACGTTTGCTGCTTCCGCCAGATACCAAGTGACTAGAGAAAATGGCAAACACGGACTCAGGAAAGTCATTCCGGGACATGGGACTGAGGAAACAACTCTCTCGATCCCTTCAAAGTGGACTCACCAGGAATCGGGTGGCTCTCTCACATACATACTCTCCCCTGGCTTAAGAGGATAAGAGGCTCACATTCGGAAAACGCCAGTTACAGGCAAGTTATTTCTTGGAAAACATCAGCTGGCTGACTAAATGACCAGGATGTACTTTGGGCTCCAGCAACTTCAATTTTCTGATTGCCAATAAAATAAAAAACAAAAACCCCTCAATTTTCTAAGACAATTGCTTCTTAAATCTCTTCTACCCCCAAATCAGCTAAGAGCATGACAACTTTTTCTTGTCTGTTCATTTAACGGAGTTTTCAGCTGACCTGTGCCCTTTTCCCAAAAATTACATTAGAGATTCTTCTACTGAATCTTCAAGTCTAGGGGCATCACCTGGGAGCCAACACAGGTGTGCACAACTGTTTGCCAAAGGCAAAAGACTCGTCAATCTTAAGGATCAGCTGAGACCAGCCTCTCGTATGCAGCACTAATAAACAGCTCACAAGGATGGTGTGATTACTGGAAGGGACTGGAAACAACCAGATCTGGCTGTCACCTGAGCTGGAGCCCACGGAACTCAGAAGATCACCAGAACACAAATAATAAACACCAACTCCCAGGTTTCCTGCTAACTTCAAGTTTTAGGGAAGCATGTTTCTAGGACCAGAAAGCAAGGTTTCCCCATAAGAATACAGCCACAACGTGAAGCAACTCCAAAGGAGCAAAATCATTTGCTCATCTGCTGGCCTGCTGGGCGTTCTGACAGCAGGAGCCACGTCCTGCGGCTGCATCAGGCCACGGAGCTGGTTGATGCTGGCTGGTGTGGCTCAGTGGTCAAGCATCCTCCCATGCACCAACAGGTCACCGGTTTGACTCCCAGGCAGGGCACATGCCTGGGCTGTGGGCTCTGTCCCCAGTAAGGGGCGCGCATGAGGCAGCCGACTGATGTCTCTCTCCCCCTCTCCCTTTCTCTCTAAAATCAATAAAAATGTATTTAAACATGACCATGATGTTAAGGAAACATCTGAGATTCAGGCAGAATACAAAGCGGGCAGTACTCTGGACCCAGAGGCAAGAACAGGGTGGAAGCCACAGGAGGGAAGGAGAGAAGCAAGGTACTGTATCTGAGGGAGGGGTCACATCACCATCCTCCACCGAACTGTGAGCCTCCACAGTTTCTAAATAACCCCAAAGAACCAGGATGTTTAAAAACACAAACAGCATCCAAAGGGTGCAAAGCAGAGCATTCAACGAGAGACTTGACCGGCTGCCTGCCACTCGCTAGACCCAAGCCACGCGCCTTCCTGCCAGGGTGCGGGGTCAGGTGGCTGCACCTGAGCCGCCCGCTGGCCCGCCGGCCTTCCCTGTGGCCACAGCACACCCACCACCAGCCGGCCGTGGTCTATTCCCACCAGCGGCCTCCATCAAATGCTAAGTTCCGCTTAATTTTGGATTTCGAGACAGCAAAGGCTGAAGAAAGCTAGGGACTGGAGCTCTGCAACGGACCTGGTCTAGAGGGGGTCCCGGCGAGGGCGAGGGAGGGACCAGGGCCCCGGTGCAGCCTCGACGCCAGCACGGGCCACCCTTGCTGGAAAGGTGCTGAACCTGCGCCTGGGGCCCCAGGAACACTGGGCGTCGTTCCGGGGGGTGGGGGGGCTCCACTTCGTTCCCGCAGGAGCCCGGCCGAGAGGAGGCTCCCCGCCTGTCGCTTGTCCTCTGTCACAGCCCAGGGAGGCAGGGCTGGGGCGCGAGCGCAGCGACGCTATGGCGGCTGCCCAGCTCCCTCCTGGGGGCTGCTGCTGTCCGAGGGCCTGACACTCTGGACGACGGCGACGACAGTCTCCACCAGCCCTGGGCACGGCCCTTAACCCGCTGGGCCCCAAGTCTCCCCGTGTCTCAACGCAGCGACAGTCACGCCAACAGCTCTCCCGCGTTGTGGGGACGTCAAGACCGAACTCAGGCGCGACGTG